ATTTCAAGAACCAATGTGATGGAAATAAAATTACAGCAAATTTAAGAGTCAATGGGAGTGATGGACAGTTAAAACTAGAAGAAAAATACCCCTTTAAATAAATTTGGCTGTTTGGTGGTGCATATCAAAGGAAGCCATTTTATTTTTAACACAAAATAGTATTTTCTATTATGGTTGGAAGAAGTATTAGAGAGGGTAAGGTTAAAGCTCCAAGACAGGAAAGATAAACAGATTTGATCATTCTGTTTATCACTTGGGGTGAGCTGCAAACCTCTCAAGTGTCAATCCTCATGTGGCAGCTCTGAGATGTCAAGAGTAAGAGAAAATGTATGTTAACAACTCCTTATACCAGAGGTGGGTCGTTTCTTCCATTTCATCCTGCAGGAAAGAGGGAAGGATGAGGAAAGTGATGAGCAAGTATGATTATAGGTGACATGCCAGAAAATTTGAGGGGTTTTCTTATGAGAACCACACAGTATGAGGTGAATAAGTTAAATGAAGAAACAGATGGATTGTGATAACAAGAGAGTAGAGGAGGCTTAAAATAGATTTTATAAGGAGAGGAAGGAAGAAATGTTACTAGGTAACATTGAAATCAAGTTGAGATTAGAGACCAAGAATTTTCATCAAACCAATTTACTATTTTCTCCAACATCATTTACTATCACAATATTGTACAGCTAGGGAAGTAGATATTTAGACTGATGGAAAGCTTGCGTTTAATCATATCCATGCTGTCTAAGGGCAATGAATGTAAATCAATGAAATTTTTAAAAGAATAATTTAAACAATGGATAATGACATCTAGGCTGATCAAAAAAGCTGAGACAGGGCTAGTCTCTATTCTCCTTTTCCCTTGACTGTGCTTCAAAGGACATTTTAGCCCAAGTATAAATTGTGTAAACATTAGTAAATTTTCACTGCCCCATAGAACCAAATGGGTATGTTATATAGTCTTATCTGTAAGACAAAGATCAAAATCATGCTTTAGAATGGAAGGAATGCTAAATCTAAAATCCTAAATCCTTGAAAATAAGATTTTAACAGAAAGTACTTGACAGAGAAAGGTCAGGCTATAAGTATTTGAATATTTGGAATATTAGAACAAGTGATATAACAGCAACATCAACAAAAAAACCCTGACTTTATATTTAGTGAGATACAGGAGGCCCAACACAAATGTTGATGGTTGCTTTGCAGGTTGCGCTAGTTCTGAATTAAACTAGTTTGTTCAATAAACTTAGCAGAATAAGAAAATAGGGAAAGGAAAATCTAGAAGGACTTGGTAACTGACTTCATAGAAGGTCTAAAGAAAAATAATGAATCATAAGTGTGAGGATATTACAATTTGTGGATGCCAAAGTTATGAGAAAAGTATTTATGAGGAAAATGTGATGGGTTCTATTTACATTTCAGGGATCTTTAGTAGTTATTAGTAGTATATAAGTTTTTTCAATAGGATTTGGAGGACTGGAAGTAGTCCTGGAGATTTGTCCTATACTGTCATCAACACACATTTTACAAAATCATGAAAACAAATCAAACTTTAAAAAGAAACAGAGGAAAAAGCAATGTATACAGAAAGATATGTAATATAGAAATATAGAAAGAAATGTAGATAAAATTAACATCGTAGGAGAAAATAATAATAAAGATAATCAGAAACCAAAGGAGTACCACTTTTTGGCATTTTGATTAAGATCAAGTACAGAAGCCAAAGAAAGAGTTTCAAGTTGAGTAAAATATGGAAACAAACTTTCTGTAAAAAGATAATGTAGACTTATTAGCAAAAATAATATTAGGAAACTCTGAAAGTGAAATTGCCCTGTCAAGGGGAACTAAATAGTGAAGAGGTTGCTCAGAAAGTGTATGTTGCAATGAGGATATAGCTCATTGGAAAAGCACTTGCTGAGTATGAGTGAGGCCCCTGGGATCAATTCTCAATAGTCTAGTCAATGAAAAAGATTTAAAAAACCAAGGCTGTGTTTAAGGAAACTGTCTGAGAAATTTGACTATGGAAGGAAAAAAATTTCCAGCAAAAGGGAGCAGTTTTAGATTATATGGATTATATGCGTTTTCAAGACTGGGCAGACATACCACTCCAGGAAGTTGTTAAAGATTGAAATAAACTATGATGTGCACGCTCTAGATGTAAAATATTCTAGTTATTCACCAAATTCATCAAGATGTCAGCCAATGACTACAGCCAATAAAGACCTTTAGTTGATTTTATTGGTGTTAGAAGATTAATGCTCAACTATGACAGCTCATGTTTACTCATTTATAATTTACCCTGACAATATTTTTCTTTAATTTCATTTTTGGAATCAATGCCTGAAGTTTATATAGCAGTATAAGTGACTATATTATATACAAACAAACTAATGCTTGAAATAAATGGTTTGAGGCCAGTGGTTTTCAACTCGTGAGTCACAATCATTATGGAGATCACATATCAGATATTGTGTATATTAGATATTTACATTGTGCTTTGTAACAGTAGCAAAACAAAATTACAGTTATAAAGCTGCACCAAAATGTTATAATTGGGGGGGGGTCACCACAACATGAGGAACTGTATTAAAGGGTTGCTGCATTAGGAAAGTTGAGAACCACTGTGTAAGTCTTCATCCTTGGAAATACTTTTTTGTCTGGCTTTTATTTATGAATGAAAATGCACACTCGTCCAAAATTCATGAAAATAAGTTGTTCTGGGGCAGCTCAAATATATAACTGAAGAAATTTTAAGGAAAAGGGAATGTGTAGTTGCTCTATTGGAAAATAATATCTGGTTTAGTGCACCTGTTTTAATTTTGTTTCTCCTTTAGCACAGTGGAAGAAGTGGGAGAGATGAAGCCATTGGGCTTAGAAGATTTCAATATAGCTCAGCACTTAACTTCTTTGTATTTAGGTTTTTCTTTGAAAAGTAGGAGTGATGATGCCTGGTTTTATAAAATTTTGAGGATTTAATGACATAATATGTATACAAGCATGTAACACATTTTTTCTTCTTGAGTTGTCATCTTTGAATGTAATCAGCTTTGTTTATAAAACTGTGTACTTTTTCATTTTTAAAAATTCCTATAATCCATGAATCTTATAGCTAACTCTTAAGTTAGATCAGAGTAACCAGAAACAACAAATTTAGTGGCTTTGGCAATTGGTTTTATCAGCTAATGTAAAGAAATGTGCTCAGAGAGTAACTTTGAAGGATGAGGGTGAAAGAGCGCCATCTTATAGTGGTAACAATATTTATCTTTAATGGAGAAGTCTCTATTTTCTATTGCATTACATTAGTGGAAATATTTGTGAAGGAGGGGACAGACAAGCATTAGGTTGATGGAGGAAATTGTTTTGTCATCTATACAATCCTTACAATGAAAGGATGACCTCTCAGAAGTTTTTTCACAAACCCTTGCATAACCAACAATTCCTTAAAATAATAAGATAAGATCAGTTTTGTTATTTGGGGTCATTTAGATGAACATAGCAATAGTAAAATATATAGAGTCACTCTCTATAAAATATTTTAATGAAAATATTTAACATATGGTTGATTATAATGATCTCCAGTTCAATGTCAGCTGCCTTGAATTCTTTTTAAAAATATATCAGCAGAGTATAAATTATAAATAAAAATATAAATTTGGTGTTACTTAAGTTGGGAGTGGTAGTTCACATTTTAATGCCAGCACTCGAGTGGCTGACGGGATGATTGCTGAGAGTTTGAGGTCAGCCTGAACTGCTTGATTAGGCCCTGTCTAAAAAAAGCAAAGAAAATGAAATAAACACAAGGGAAGTTGAAGCAAAACATTTTAGTATCAAACTCTGCTTGTCTTATGTCCCATATGCACTGTCCTTCTGTTCTGAATTATCATTTAACTTACCTACATCTCTACTGCAGAACTAAAGTATCAAATATCTTTTGTTTTCTTTTTCCTTTTTTTGTAATGCTGAGGATCAAATATAGGACCTTGTGCATCCTAGGCAAATATTCCACCTTTAATTTATATCCTTAGCCCTTGAAGTTTATTTATTTATTTTTTTATTTATTTATTTGGTTTTTCGAGACAGGGTTTCTCTGTATTGTTTTGGAGCGGGTCCTGGAACTTGCTCGAACTCACAGAGATCTGCCTTCCTCTGCCTCCTGAGTGCTGGGATTAAAGGCATGCACCACCAACGCCTGGCACTCTTAAATATCTTGAGACAACATTTTATCATGTAGACCAGGTTGAACTCAAACTTGTGATCCTCCTTCGTCAGCCTTCTGAGTGTTAGAATGACAGGCATGTATCATGATGCCATGTTCCAAGTATGGTTTAAATTGGGTAATATTTCAGTCTATCCATGTCTTTAATACTTTTGTGTGTTGATAAAATAATAATAGACTAGCTTATTAAGACAATATACATTTAATGCTAATGATATGCTAGATGTCAGTTGTGTTCATCATTCAAATTGATTACTCACATTGATATTTGTAACATCTAAATGCTATATAATTAGGGGAAATCTAGTTATTGGTAAAGGGAAACCAGCCAACTGGCTGGTGGCCAAGAAGGACTGAGCTGATATGGAAGGGTATATTTATGACAGGAACTGCTCAGGGATACAGACAGTTCTGAGATGGGAATGCCAGGAATTTAAATAAGAAAGTATAAATGAATGTCTCCGGAGGAAATAGAGGAAGAAAGAATAATATGGCCAATTTTCTTATTCTGAGTCTGAGGGTCATGTACATGCTAGTTTTTGTAGGAGTTAGACTCTCAATCACCATTTCTTCTTCATTCTCTCCCTTTTTACCAAGAAAAGAGGTAACTTACGAGTTGCTTTATTTTTAGAACATGTACTACAGAATCCCCAAAGAGCACAGGGTAAAGTGAGATTTCAAATTTTGAGAACTTTTCCCACCCTGTGCCCTTTTCTTCCTCATGTATTAAACTGCTTGCTGTGTTCCCCAGATATTTCACTATTTAATTCCAAGTCATATTTTTTTCCAGGTTGTACTTCACATTTATAGTCAGATCAACTTTGAGGCATGATGAATTCTAGAAGGACACGACGTAGAACATCTGGTCGTAGGGCCAACTCTAACCTAAGCCTATGTTGTTGCCTTCCTTTGTTTAAATGTCATCGACGTTCCAAGAATAAGGTAAGAATATCTAGAAATATGGTACTGAGTTTTGATAGGATGTAAATGAATGGCAGAAGAGTGGGGAATGTAGTCTGAGTGTTATGACTGTGTGTAAAGATCAGTAAGACGTTTGTGAGTTTTTCTAAAGGATCTATACACATTCAGTCAGTTCTGCCTTTTCAGAGTTGGGGGTTGGGAAAATGGGTTAAGATTGGGATTCCAAACAACTTTGACAAGCTGATGTGGGTAAAAATAAACATGACAAAGTCTATTAAAGGCAAACTAAAATCCAGAGGAATACCAGATTACAGAAACGAGTACAAGATGGTCCTCAACTGGGTATGTATAAATATAGCAAATAATTGTACAGAACCCATGAGAACTATAGGTCAAACATGCCAATAATAGAATGTCCTATGGTCACAAACAGTGAATGGAAGGGCTGGGGTGTAACCTTAAAATATTATTCTCTATTTAAATTTTTATTGTGCCTTTAATAGAGAGTAATGTGCCAATTTCAACATCTATGATCTATATATGTAAGATGTGGTGTATTTGGGCAAGGTGCAGGGAAAGCAAGCCAAGGTGATTCCTTTCAAATTCTCAGACAATTAAAAAAAGTCCTTGTAAAAGAAAAATAAAAGACCTGAAGGGTTAGCTTAATTATATGGCTTCAACTAGTTGGAGAGATACTATATAAGGGTAGAAGGAATGGATCATACAGCCCCTAAATATTTCCACTCAAATCAGACTTGAGATGACTAATATAGTGAGTAAGTCAGAATTTTGTTTTACCATAGAATAGTTCTCACCTCAAAATACTAAAAAGTTAGCATTATTTGAAATATATATGAAAAATTTCCCCTTTGAGCTTTGTCAGAATAAAGCAAAAAGCTACCATTATGAAATGATTTTAGTACAGACTGGTCATATAGCAAAGTGGACAGTCTATTAGTAGATTTTTAGAAAGCCTTTTAAGTAATATAAGTCTGTGAAATAAGGTTCATTCACCAGTTCAAAGGGGAAAATTGGATTCCTAAACATCCATTTTGTTTCTCATTATAATTTTGATAGCATTTGCCCTCGGGTGTTTTTAAACAGCTTCATAGACTTTAAGATTTCCCAGACCTCTTTTACATTTGTAAATATTTAACACCAACCTTCTCCCGCCCCCTGGTTTCCAGTGTGCCTACACATTTTTCATCTAAACAGATGACTAAGTTCCAAGGCTGTGTTCTAGCAAAATAACAATATGTGAAAATATTTCTAGTTAATCATCACCTTTCTATTTTGTCAGAATACTCTAGTTCTTGCTCAGATTTCTACCTTCATAATTTTTCTCTGCATGCAAAGCAGATGTTTATGACAATTGGTTGAAGTAAATTAGGCAGCTAATCTGTTCTAATTTTTAATTCTATATAGGCATAAATTCTTTGAGCATTTATTTTAAGAGACAAAACCAGAAATTGGAGAAAAGTGGCCATTTTCAGTATGCTATTAACTCATTGAGTGCATATGATTGAAAGCTGTGGTAGGCATGCTGAAGTGATGTTTATTTTTCTTTCTCCAATTTCATCATAGATATGTCTAAATGTACCAAGGTTGCATGACCAAGCAACTGGTAATTTCAGGCAATTAGCTACTTGTTTGGGCTTAAAGATAATCAACATTCATTTTTGACTTTTTTTCAGTAAAATGTTCAGTCAAAATTTCACTCAATTACTTACTTCACACAAAGTGAAGTGGAGAATTGAAGCAATTATCTACATGATTCAAACAAAAAGATGACCTCTTTGACCTCAATTATAGTACCTGTGTATTTTAAGCAAACTGTGCGTTTTGCTTGAAAACTGGAAAAAATGTTAGTGCTAAATATTTACAAATGTAACATTTACTCAGAAAACTGCTTAAATCTTCAACTTCTCCTTCGGTTTACATTGTCTGAATGTTAACTGAAGCTAGTGATAACTAATGAAATGAGTGATTTACTGATTTTTTAATAAGTATGATTTTAAAATTTTTGTTATGAGCTTATTAGGAAAGAGGGAAACATGACAGATTCAAGATGTCTCGTATATTTACTGTTAAACATTTTTGTACAGGTGTTCCATAATGAAAATGGGACTCTAAAATTAGCATTTGAGGTGGAAGCAAGACAAACAATGGGGAGCATACTAATAAGCAGCCACAAACAGGGGTGGTTGAATAATTATAGGGCCCCTTCCACAGTGCAAACGTGCATTTTTATTCCAACATCAGGTAATTGAACCTATAAGCAGAAACAAAGCAGCAGTATTCTTTCATAGCTAAAAGTGCTTTAAAACAATAGAAAGTACAGCATAATTAATTTTTTAACATTACTTAGAAAAGCAGGAATCCAGGATGGTAAATCGAACCTGATAATGTGATGATGGTGCAAGTTACAGAGTCAGTGAATTTTGAAGTTTAGAATTGATGGTATATTTAAACCACAAGAAACAGACCATATGGCCACATGTGAGCGGATAAACCAATAGCAAAATGGATATCCATTGGAATAATTGAAATAACTAAGCATTTATAAAATACCCTTCATCATCAACTTCCTCCCCCTCAAAACAATGGGAGCCATTATCTTTTATACTTCTAAAAAGCACTCTACATAATACATATAATTAATTAAATAAGTCTAGAAATTGAAAGAAATGAAAGCTAAGACAACAAAAGTAACCAGAGTCACACAGAATATGGTGCATACAAGTCTCTCAGAAGCTAAATCATCCTGTTACTTGCCAATGAGAACAGGAATATTGAGTAGTTTCATCAAAAAAGTATTAATTAATAGATGCTACCATTTTAAAATAAATTTATTGTTTTATGACAGCTTAATTTGGAATATGATTTGGCTCATTTGCATTGAGAAAATATTTTAAAATTCGGTGCATAACTTTGTATGGTTATAGAAAAAAATATGAAAATCCACAAATATTGTCCTTGATATATGTAATTACATCAATATCTTCCTTTTTAAGGTAGTAAAGAAAATAAACGTGTATAAAGACTTTTGTAATCAATAAAAGCACATACATGATTCTTTGTATTGTTTTCCTAGATTCTAAATGGGACAGGATCTCCTGAGCAGATTGGGAGAATGAGGGGAGGGGAAAGGGAGCTGGGAAAAAGAGAGGGGGAGAGGAGGACATGGGGGAGCAGGAAGTTTGAGCCGGGGGAAAAACAGAGGAGAACAAGATGAGAGATATCATAATAGAGGGAGTCATTATAGGTTTGAGGAGAGATCTGGCACTAGTGTGATTTCCAGAGATCTACAAGGATGACACCAACTGACAATCTAAGCAATAGTGGAGAGGCTACTTTAAAAGCCCTTTCCCAATAATGAGATTGAAGACTACCTTATATGCCATCCTAGGCCTTCATCCAGTGGCTGATGGAAGCAGAGGCAGATACCCACAGCTAAACACTGAACTGAACTCTTGGAACCCAGTTGCAGAGAGGGAGGAGTGATGACTAAGGGGTCAAGACCAGACTGGTGAAACCCATAGAAACAACTGACCTGAACAAAGGGGATCCAGCCCGTGGACCCCAGACTGATAGCTGAGAGGCTAGCATGGGACTTATCAGACCCTCTAAGTTTGGGTATCAGTGAAAAGACCTTGGCAATCTATGGGGCCCCAGGTAGTAGATCAGTATTTATCCCTGGCTATGAATGAACTTTGGGAGCCCATTCCACATGGACGAATGCTCTCTCATCATGGACACGTGGGGGAGGCCCTAGGCCCTGCCCTGGATGAAATGACAGACTCTGGAGATCCACCATGGAGGGCCTCACCCTTCCTATGTAGTGAAATGGGGATCGGGTGGGGGACTAGGGGTGTTGGAGTGGGTGGGAGAGGAGGGAAGGGAGAAGGAACTGGGATTGACATGTGAAACAAGCTGGTTTCTAATTTAAAGTAAAAAATCAGAAACAAAACATATAAGTATATACATGATAAAAAGAATACTCTTTGATTTGATTAAAGTTATTTGGAGAGGAACCAGTATATTTCATCATGATGCATAGATAGACACATGTAATGACAACAAAGGGTAGACAGAGGTTTGTAATTATTTTAGATTTATTTTTATGTGTGTGAGTGTCTACCTGCATGAATATATATTCACCTTGTCTGTTCCTGGTACCTGTGGTACCCAGAAAAGGACTTCAGAACTCCTGAAACTGAAAATACAAAAGGTTGTAAGTCACTCTGTGGGTATTGCAAAGCAAACTCAAGTCCTCTGTAAGAGCAAAAAATGTTCTTAATTGGCAAGCCATCTCTTCAGCCCTGAGCCTTGCAGTATAGCTTATACTTTACTGGGGGAATTAAATAATGGTCAAATGATTCCACAGAAAAAATATATTTATAGACTAGAAGTGTTATGGAAAAATATATGTGAAACTGAAAAAAACAAAAATGCAGAGAAATTCTACCTAGTTTGTCAAATATGAAGCCTTAAGAGGGAATGCAACATTATAGGCTTAAAGAGAAATCTGGCACTAGGGAAATGTCCAGATATATATTAAAATGACCCCAACTAAGAATCTAAGAAATAGGGGATAGGCTGTCTTAAATGCCCTTCCCCTATAATGAAATTTATGGCTACCTTACATGCCATCTTAGAGCCTTTATCCCGTAGCTGATGGAAACAGAAGCACAGACCCACAGCTAAGCAATGAGCTGAATTCCTGGAATCTAATTGTAGAGAGGAGTGATGAGTGAAGGGGTCAAGACCATGCTGGAGAAACCCACAGAAACAGCTGACCTGAACAAGGGGGAGCTCATGAATCCCAGACTGATAGCTTACAAACCAGCATAGGACAGAACCAGGCTCCCTGCACATGGGTGTCAGATAGGAGGCCTGGGCAGTCTATGGGAACCCCCAGTAATGGAACAGCATTTATACCTTTTGTATGAATGGACATTTGGAGTTCACTCCACATAGAGGAATACTCCCTCAGCCTAGACATATGGGGGAGGGCCTAG